GGAAAAACAAAAAGAAGACCCAAATAAAATCAGATGTGAAATAGGAAACATTGCAACTGACACTGCAGAAATTCAAGGGATCATTAGGGGCTATTATGAGCAACTATATGCCAGTAAATTGGAAAATCTAGAGTAAGTGGATAAACTCCTAAACACGTTCAGCCTACCAAGATCAAACCATGAAGAAATCCAAAACCTGAACAGACCAATAACAAATAATGAGATAAAAATTATAATAAAAAATCTCCCAGCAAAGAAAAGCCCAGGACTCAATGGCTTAACTGCTGAATTTTACCAAACATTTAATCAAAGAACAACAACTACCAATTCTACTGTATTCAGAAAATAGAGGAGAGAATACTTCCAAACTGATTCTACAGAGCCAGTATTACACTGATACAAAACCAATGACACATCAAAAAAAGAAAACTACAGGCCAGTATCACTGATGAATATTGATGCAAAAAAAATCTCAAAATACTAGCAAACCAAATTCACCAACACATTAGCAAGGTCATTCATTGTGGCCAAGTGGGATTTATCCCAGGGATGCAAGGATAGTTCAACATACACAAATCAATACATGCGATACATCATATCAACAGAGTGAAGCACAATACCATGTGAACATTTCAATTAATGCTGAAAAAGCATTTGATAAAAATTCAACATCCCTTCTTGATAAAACCCCTCAAAAAATAGGTATAGAAAGAACATGTTTCAGCATAATAAAAGCCATATACTACAGACCCATAGCCAGCATCCTACTGAATGAGGAAAAACTGAAAGTCTGTTAAGATCAGGAACATGACAAGGATGCCCACTTTTACCACTCTTCTTTAACATAGTATTGGAAATTCTGGCTAGAGCAATCAGAAAAGAGAAAGAAATAAAGAGCACTCAAACTGAAGAAAAAGAAGAAACCAAATTATCCTTGTTTGCAGATGACATGATCTTATATTTGGAGATCCTAAATACTCCACCAAAAAACTATTTGAACTGATAAATTCAGTAAAGTGGCAGAATACAAAATTAACATGAAAAAATCAGTAGCAATTTCTGTATCCCAACAGTGAACAATCTGAAAAAGAAATCAAGAAAGCAATCCCATTTATAATAGCTACAAATAAAATAAAATACCTAGGAATTAACCAAAGAAGTGTCAGATCTTTATGATGAAAACTGTAAAACACTGATGCAAGAAATGGAAGAGAACACAAATAAATGGAAAGGTATTCCACGTTCATGGATTGGGAGAGTCCATATTGTTAAAAATGTCCTTATTACCCAAACCAAACTACAGATTTAGTGCAATTCCTATCAAAATACCATGACATACTTCACAGGAATAGAAAAAAATATAGTGAAATTTATATAGAACTAAATAATAGCCATAGCAGTCCTAAGCTAAAAGAACAAAACTGGAGGGATCGCATTACCTGACTTCAAATTATATGGCAGAGTTATAATAACCAAAACAGCATGACATAAAAACAGACACATGAACCAGTGGAACAAAATAGAGAACCTGGAAACAAACCCACACACCTACAGTGAACTCATTTTTATCAAAGTTGCCAAGAGCATACACTGGGGAAATAACAGTCCCTTCAATAAATGGTGCTGGGAAAACTGGATATCCATGTGCAGAAGAATGAAACTAGACCCCTCTTTCTCACCTTATACAAAAATTAAGTCCAAATGAATTGAAGACTTAAATCTAAGACCTCAAATTATAAAACTACTAAAAAAAATTGGGAAAAATCTCCAGGAAAATTAGAGGAGAAAAGATTTCTTGAGTAATACCAGACAAGCATAGGCAACCAAGGCAAAAATGGACAATGGGATCACATCAAGTTTAAAAGCTTCTGCACAACAAAAGAAACAATCAGTAAAGTGAAAAGACAACCCACAGAATGGGAGAAAATATTTGCAAACTACCCATCTGACAAAGGATTAATAACTGCAATATATAAGGAGCTCAAACAACTCAAAGGAAAATAATAATTTGATTAACAAATGGGCAAAAGATCTGAATAGCCATTTCTTAAAAGAAGACATACAAATGGCGCGCAGGTATATAAAAGATGCTGAACATCATTGATCATCAGAGAAATGCAAATTAAAACTACAATGAGATGTTATCTCACCCTAGTTAAAATGGTTTTTATCCAAAAGACAGGCAGTAACAAATGTGGAGAAAAGGGAACCCTTTTACGCTGTTGGTGGGAATGTAAATTAACACAGCCACTATAGAGAACAGTTTGAGGGTCCTGAAAAACCTAAAAATAGAGCTATTATACAATACAGCAATCCTACTGCTGGGTATATACCCAAAAGAAAGGAAATTCGTATATAGAAGAGATATCTGCACTGCCATGTTTGTTGTATCCCTGCTCACACTAGCCAAGATTTGTAAGCAGCCTAAGTGTTCATCAGCAGATGAATGGATAAAGAAAATGTGGTGCATATACACAATGGGGCAGTATTCAGCCATAAAAAAAAATGAGATTCAGTCATTTGCAACAACATGGATGTAACTGGACGTTATTATATTAAGTGAAATAAGCCAAGCCCAGAAAGATAAACTTTGCATTCTCACTTATTTGTGGGATCTGAAAATCCAAACAATTGAAATTATGGAGACAGGGAGTAGAAGAATGGTTACCAGAGGCCAGAAAGGGTAATAAGCCGATGTTGGGGGGGAAATAGGGATGGTTAACAGGGACAAAAAATAGAAAGAATGAGTAAGACCTAGCATTTGATAGCACAACAGGCTGACTACAGTCAAAAATAATTTAAATGTACATTAAAAAATAACTAAAATGCTATAATTGGATTGTTTGCAACACAAAGGATAAATGCTTGAGGGGATGGATACCCCATTTACCCTGGTGTGATTATTACACATTGCATGTTTGTATCAAAATATGTACCCATAAATATATATACCTACTGTGTACCCATGAAAATTTTAAAAATGTATAATAGGCCTCAGTAAGACTCTCAGTAATCATCTGCAAACTTAGTAGGTGGATTGAGGCCATCCAGCTTAGTCTTCTATTTAACAACTAATCTTTGAGTTCATGATATTGTTGTATGTTGACTTTTAGCATAATTATCCCTATAAGCTGTACTTCTCAGCAAAAGTCATTTTTAAGGGATTTGTTCACTTTCCGTTTTTTTCAGTTGTCTTTCTAATGTATCAGTCAGTGGAAATATTTTTTCAAATATTAATTTACTCACCTTTTTCCTTGATCTATAATGGATTTAAGATGATATACTTAGTATATTATAGATGAATGTTAATGGAAGATCTGATGCTTGTGTGGGTGTGTGTTTTGTATTTATATAGCCATTAGGTTGACAAGTGTGTTCTGTGTCATTATGGGATTGTCCTCTTTGCAAAATGAGAGTTTTCTTTTTTCAGTTATATTCAACAGATTACAAGTACTATGATAATTTCTAACCATCAAGTAAAATAATTTAAAAATTGACTAGAAATGCAAACCACTTTTACACCATTTTAAGTCTTACTTACTATAAAGATCTCCAAAGCAATACATTCAGTAAAACTCAGGTTCCTCTTGTAATCCTGTAACATCCTTAAGTATGCATTGGGAAGATGACTGGTTTACCAAGCTTGATTCAAACATCGTGGGTTACAACACTTAAATTTGCTTACAGTCTCATAAGGTAAGGTGGTGAGAAGATATCGGGGGAACCAGCCCCGAGTATTTTAATGTAGGTTCTTTTCTATTTTCCCTAAGTGTTGGCCAGTCTGAGAAACAAAGGGAAAGAGTACAAAAGAGAGAAATTTTAAAGCTGGGTGTCCGGGGGAGAAATCACTTGTCGGCAGGTTCCATGATGCCCCCTGAGCCGCAAAACCAGCAGGTTTTTATTAGCAGTTTTCAAAGGGGAGGGAGTTTACGAATAGGATGTGGGTCACAGAGATCACATGCTTCACAAGACAGTAAAATATCACAAGGCAAATGGGGGCGGAGCGAGATCAGAAGACCAAGGCGAAATTAGAATTGCTGATGAAGTTTCATGTCCTGCTGTGCATGCATTGTCATTGATAAACATCTTAACAGGAAACAGGGTTCAAGAGCAGAGAACTGGTCTGACTAAACTTTGAAATTCCTGACTAGGCAGGAATTTCTTAATCCTAGTAAGCCTGGGGGCGCTGCAGGAGACCAGGGCATATTTCATCCCTTATCTACAACTGCATAAGACAGACAGTCCCGGAGCAGCCATTTTAGAGACCTCCCGCTGGGACTGCATTCTCTTTCCCAGGGCTATTCCTTGCTGAGAAAAAGAATTCAGTGATATTTCTCCCATTTGCTTTTGCAAGAAGAGAAATATGTCTTTGTTCTGCCCAGCCCCGCAGGCGGTCAGGCCTTATGGTTATCTCCCTTGTTCCCTGAAAATCGCAGTTATCCTGTTCTTTTTGGATACTCAGATTTCATATTGTTCATACACACATGTTTTACAAACAATTTGTGCAGTTAACACAGTCATCACAGGGTCCTGAGGTGACATACATCCTCAGTTTATGAAGATGATGGGATTAAGAGATTAAAAACAAGCATAGGAAACCACAAGAGTAATGACTGAGGAAGTGATAAATGTCCATGAAATCTTCACAATTTATTTTCAGAGATTGCAGTAAAGACAGGCATAAGAAATTATAAAAGTATTAATTTGGGGAACTAATAAATGTCCATGAAACCTTCAAAATTTATGTTCTTCTGCCATGGCTTCAGCCGGTCCCTCCATTCAGGGTCCCTGACTTCCCACAGCAAGAAGAAAGTACAAAATTATGATGTTATTTATAACACAACTCTTAGCTAAACTTCTGCTGAAATTTCCTAAAGATTATAAAGTATGTTTATAATAGATTATTTTGCTGTCAGCCTCTTGAGATATGCTTCTTTTTATGCTAAGTAAAATGTAACCTCTTGCCACAACTCAGATCTTTTCTCTTTATTGATTTCTAGTATCTAAAAAGCACGGCAAGCTCATTACGTTCTTACGAACATTCATGAAGTCTCGTCCAACAAAACAGAAGCTGAAGCAGCGGGGAATCTTGAAAGAGAGGGTGTTTGGTTGTGACCTGGGGGAGCACCTTCTAAATTCTGGTTTTGAAGGTAAAAATAAAATGTGCAAGCTTATACTTTGAGTTTCTGACCTCTCCATATTGGTTCTCTATGACCAATTATGGAGTAGATTTAGGCAAATGATAACTGTTTCATTTCAGTTCAATGCATGTATTAAGCTTTCTCAGGTACTCAGTTCTGGGTGGAGCTGAGAATGAAAAGTCTATGAATGCACTTTGGCATCAGAGATGCTCATGTTCTGTTCCAGAAGAGTAGGACATTCACACGAAATATATTACAACCACCCTGTTATTTTGCCTTACTTTCTATTTCTCCCTAGATAGCTTCTTCAGCCAGTTTCACCACCCACATTTTATCCTAAAATATTTATCTAATTATTCTTATGGAAAAAAAGCTGTCATAGTTTTGAGACATAAAATGCCAAAATCAATCTTCCAATTTTTTTGTTTTTAAAGAGACAGGGCCTTGCTTTGTCGCCCAAGCTGGAGTGCAGTGGCGTGATCATAGCTGACTGCAGCCTTGAATTCCTGGGCTCAGGCAGTCCTCCCAGAGTAGCTGGGACTACAGGCATGTGCCACTACACCTGCCTCATTTTTATTTTTCATTTTATATTTTGTAGAGGATCTGTATTTTATTTTTTGTAGGAATCTGTATTCCTTTCTTTATAAATTAAATTATGAATCAAGAATTTAGTTGTTGGATGGTGGGATGGATAGGAGAGAAAGAAAAAAAGGAGTTTTCCTTTTATATTTTAAAATAGCACTTTCCTCCAGCATCTCCTTCAGAAATGCCAGAAGATGAAGGCAGGATCTACCTATGATGTTGTTAAACACCAGAAATAGGTGATTGTGAAATTCCAAATTAGTATGGGAAATACCCATTATGCCTTTTGAGAAGACCATTAGTGAAAAACAATGGTAAAGTAATACTAATAATACTGAGTTGATAGTATCATGTTCAAATTAAGGTCTTACTCATTGTTAAAAGAATATCAATGGACTTAGGAATTTAATGCAAACTGTACCATGTTTCTTGAGCGAGTAGACAAAATGTTATTTCAAACAGATGTTATTCCCAAATTAATACCAACTTAGTGCATCCCTAAAAAACAAAAACAAAAGAAAAAACCCCTGAGGATTACTTTTGCAGCTAAATGCACATGGAAAACTCAACCAGTGACAATGTCAAAGAAAAAAATCAGTGATAGGATGGGAGTTTTACTAGTTTTACTATATATTAAAACAATACTCAAAACTAGAAAAGCAGAGTTTTCACTGTGTGCGGTAGCACATGCCTGCAATCCCAGCACTTTGGGAGTCTGAGGCAGGCAGATAGCTTGAGCCTAGGAGTTCAAGATCAGCCTACACAACATGGCAAGACCTGGTCTCTACCAGAAATACAAAAACTAGCCAGCGTAGTAGTATGCAGCTGTAATCCCAGTTACTTGAGAGGCTGAGATGGGAGAATCACCTGAGATTGGGAGGCAGGGGTTGCAGTAAGCTGATTTCACGCCACTCCACTCCAGAGCAAGACCTTGTCTCAAAAAAAAAAAAAACTTTTTTTAAAGGCAGAGTTTTGTGCAGAGAATGAAATGTGAGTGAAACAGCTTAGAGTGTTCAGAAATAGTTGTTACTATACATAAGAATCCATTGTGAAAAAAGTATGGTTTTAGAACCATGTCACATGGAAGAGCTATTTATAATACATATTGAGATAATTAAATAGCAGTTTTGAAAAAAATTCACACTTCATCATACTGAAAATAAACTTCAAATGTATAAGTTAACCATTTTAAACTTATAAAATTGCCAGTGTGAACTGATTTTGTTTTGAGATAAAATAGCTTTCTCAAATTTAAACAAAAAACATAAGGAGATGCATATATATATATGCATATATATATATATATACACTTTTCATATAATGAAAAATAACAATATAGAGGGAGAGGTACCATAAACCAGGAAATATAATCATTTTTTTGGATATGGTGAAATGCTGCTATTATAGTGTATGAGAATATCGTTTCAGATTTTTTAGAAAATTAAAGTTCCTGAGTAAAAGAATGGAGAAAAGATACAAACATTACACAGAAAAATGTTTATCGTTATTTGTAATCATGGAAATGTATCTTTAGGCAATTTTGAAATACCATTTTACTTTGGTAAATATTAAAATAACAAAGCTATTTTTCTAAATTATGATATCCAGTGCCATAAATATAGCAGTAATTTTTACCAGTAGGTTCAGAATCGTTGGTTTCAGGAAGTTCTGAGTTAGCACTACCTTTTTGGAAAACATTTGACATTTCATAGCAAGACACTTTATAGTGTTCCTTTCATCTAACGAATCCATCCTTAGGGACTTATCTTAATGTTATAATTAAATAGAAATAAAAGTGTTCATCATAGCATAATGTATGAGAACAAAGAAAATGAAATACCCAACTTTGGGAGAATGTTCTTTTTTGAAATGGGGTTTCACTCTGTCATCCAGACTGGAGTGCAGTGGCACAATCTCAGCTCACTGCAACTTCTGCCTCCTGGGCTCAAGCTGTCCTCCTGCCTCAGCTTCCTGAATAGCTGGGACTATAGGCATGCACCACCACACCCAGCTAATTTTTGTATTTTTTTTGTAGAGGTGGGATTTTGCTATGTTGGCCAGGCTGATCTCGAACTCCTGGACTCAAGCGATCCACCCACCTCGGCCTCCGAAAATGCTGGGATTACAGGCATGAGCCACCACACCCATACAGGGGAATGTTCTATAAATGCTGAAGCTATTAAAAATTTTAAGTTTGGGCTGGGTGAGATGGCTTGTGCCTGTTATCCTAGTATTTTGGGAGGCCAAGTTAGGAGGATCGCTGGAGGCTGGGAGTTTACAACAGCCTGGGAAGCATCGCAAAACCCTATGTATACAGAAAAAAAAACCAAAACGAGCTGTGCATGGTGGCACACACCCATACTCTTAGCTAGTTCAGAGGCTGAGGTCAGGGGATTGCTGGGCCCCAGGAGTTGGAGACTACAGTGAGCTATCATCCTGCCACTGCACTCCAGCCTGGGCAACAGGGCAAAACCCTGTCTCTAAATAAATAAATCAAATAAGTTTGAATACAATGTAGGAACCTGAAAAATATTATCTATAAATAGTAGATACAACTTTTGAAAGTGTGGATACTTAGGTAATATGAAAAATGAATATAATTATAGTAAAGTATTAGAGAATATTGTTTAGATTTTTTTTTTAGTTGTCTTGCTTTTTCAATTAAAAAAATTAGAGGAATATTGGAAAATAATAATCCTGGAAGATTAATCCCTCTTTGCCAAGTTAAACTCAAATGACTAGAAAAAAAATTAAATTGTGACATTAAAGTGTAATTGAAATTCAGTAAACCTTAGGAGCCAGAAACCTCGAAGACTGAGGTCACCTGTATTATACTTGGCATATTAAAATAATTTCCTGTTTCATCAGGGTTGGTAATAAATGAATAAATATTCATAAGAAGGATATTCATTTGTGAATATTCAGATGAAGCCTAAATTAGCAGGAGAAGGGAAACCTTTGAAGTTTATTAACTAAAATTTTAATTAGGAAATAAAACTTTTTTAATAGCCAAGTGATTTAGTAGTTTGTCTTTGATTTAATGAATATGTGAGGAATTTCAGTTTTTTCGGATTTTAAGACTTCATAGGGAGCTGGGTGTGGTGACTCATGCCTGTAATCTTAGCTCTTTGGGAAGCCAAGATGGGAAGAGCACCTGAGCCTAGGAGTTTGAGACCAGCCTGGGAAACATGGCATGTTTAATGCCCTGTAACATGTTAAACCTTGCTTAGATGTGATCATTAATATGAAAAAGAGGCCTGGCGTGGTGGCTTACTCCTGTAATCCCAGCACTTTGGGAGGCCGAGACAGGCAGATCACCTGAGATCAGGAGTTCAAGACCATCCTGGCCAATATGGTGAAATCCTGTCTCTACTAAAAATACAAAAATTGGCCGGGCATGGTGGCATATGCCTGTAATCCTAGCTACTCAGGAGGCTGAGGCAGGAGAGATTGCTTGAACCTGGGAGGTAGAGGTTGCAGTGAGCCAAGATCTCACCATCACGTCTGGGTGACAAGAGCAAGACTCTATCTCAAAAAAAAAGAAAAAGAAATTGAAAGAGCGTTTTCCAGTTTGTCCTGCCATGCTCATTAGCTTTCAAATATCAATTCAATTTTAGTTGTACTTAGAAGTTTCAGTTATGTTTCCATTCTTCATAAGGTTGATAGGGGAGGACAGAGGCTATTATATCACTTCTTTCTGAAAAGTAGCAGGTTAAACTATAGTATTTATCTGTTGCCTAATTATGATAAAAGCTATTTGAGTGGAACAGTTTTTTGGTATCATTGATTTTTTTTTTTTGTAGAGACACTGTCTTTACAAAAAAATTTTTTAAATTAGCTGAGCATGGTGGCACGTGCCTGTGGTTCCAGCTACTTGAGAGGTTGAGGTGGGAGGATCTCGTGAGCCCAGGAGGTCCAGGATGCAGTGAGCCATGATCACACCATGGCACTCCAGCCTGGGCAACAGAATGAGACCCTATCTCAAAGGAAAAAAAAAAAAAAAAAGACTTCATATGTATTGTCAAATGGCCTATAACCACAGTTATACCATATGTGTGTATATATTTACACATACATATATAGAGAGAAGGAGAGACCATTTTAAAGTCTAAAACAATTAGAATTGAATATGTATTTTAAACTCTAAAATAATTAGAAAAAAATGAAGAAAAAATGATTATATACATAATTGTGAGGAGAGATGAGACACATACAGTGTATATAATATTGATATGCATCGTATAATTGTCCTTCTCAAAGTTTAGACTTTAACATAGTGTCTTTACCCTAAACAAAATTAACCTTGCACTAGATTTTTCTGAGAAGGAAGCTCATATCAAAATTATATTTTATGTGCTTGCTTCGACAGCACATATACTAAAATTTGAACAATACAGAGATAAACGTGACCCCTGCACAAAAATGAC